TGGTGTTCACGATTCTATGGCCCCAGACGTTTGTTTCAATGTCAAGCACCGCCTCCTCCTCGCTCTTCCTTGTGCACATTGTCTCAAGGCCCTTGAGCTCAAAGTAGACAAGGTGGGGCAGTGGAGGTGGATGAACCGTGTCTTCCGAGCACAGATTCACCTGGCTTGAGTGCTTCAAGTCTTGAGTGATGAACGTTAGGGGCTGTTTCTTTCGGTCCACCTCTTGCAGGTGAGGTCACCTGTGATCCATGGATTTCACCGTTTCAGAATAGGCTGATATATCGAGCCATGGCTCAGGTAGTCTGAGTCGACCAGTGGCTCATGGAGCCCCAGATCGGGTCGACTCAATTCGCAGAGGGACCCACCGGGGGCTTTCCCATTGCTTTTGTGGCAACGAAGTTCGATGCCCGGAGAAGCCTTCGAGTCGCCGGGCGTCGTTGGGCGAGTTCGAACCGAAGCCTCGCACCATCCCCCGTTCCAGGAGCAGCGTTCTGGAGTGCAGAGTGGAGGAGGGAAAGGGGAAAGCACGGGGATGGGACTTAGGAGTCTCTGGCTTGTCCCACAAGATGGTGACATTGACTTTGAGCAACAAAAAAACAAAAAGGTGAGGAAAAACACACCTTTGGACCATTTTGAGAGCTTTTCGGACCGGATTTTGAGCCTGCCACCTTGCAGGTCATTAACTCATCCCCTTGGGGTCATCCAAGATTTCTCTCTGACTGGCGAAGACAGTGAGATGTGGAAGGGTTCTCTTTCGCCCCGACCCACTGAAATCAATCATTTTGGGAGTGGCCGCGAACCTGGTTGGACTAAGGACGTGGCAGTGGAGATTTCCTCCCAAAAACCATCCCCAAGCAAAGCAAAAAGGTCAGGAACTGCCCTCACTTGACTGGAGTCGGTCAGATCAAAATACTACGAAGATGGAGCTTTCAGGACCAAGTTTTTTTTCCTGGACCGGAGCTCTGACTTTACCGGGCCGGAGCTCTGACCTGGGAGACATTCTTCGTCGTTTTGGAGGTCGACTCCCTGCTTCAGGCGAAGCTTCCCTCATTCCTTGCCGCACCAGTCAGGTCTTTTTGAACGCTCACGTGAGATACATGGAAGTGGAACTAACATGGAAGTGGCGTGAGTGAAGAAACCCTGTTTGGTCTTCGGATTTGGTCTTCCCTTCAGGGCATCCACTTCACCGGATCTTGACTCGTTGCCCCACCCTGAAATGCGAATGCTTGGTGGATTCTGACGCAGACTAGGTCGGCCGACCCGGGCTTCAGTCGGGCATCCTCGTTTTGGTTTCTTTCCGAACAGAGGGGCTTTGGATGTTTGGCGCATCCCGAATCGATCCAAATTGTGCAGGTTCTGGTCATCCATAGGTTGTCAGCCAAGGTTAGCAGATCTTCTGCACCTTTCGAAGATATCCAGGATTTTCGTGGGCCACCCAACTTTTCTCCGCGCTTCGGGCCATGGGGGCCGGTTCTGCCGCCGCGTGCCTCAGGAGCTTCGGAGGCAGACGGTGTCTGTTTGGCCACGCGGACGGTCCGTCTGTGCCGTCGCTTCAGACAACCAAAGACGCAGACGTTACAGTGGAATGCATGCGTCTTCGGAGTTCATGGCCATCCTTTCAGGGCGCCATCGAAGGAAAAACCATCGAAGGAAAACCAAAGAAGAACTGTATCGAATGATCGATTGGTTGTAAGACGTTGCGGTAATGACATGTGCATGTCCTGCACTGATTTCCCTCATCACCCTGCAGAGGGCTGGGGACTCCAGCAAGAAGCCATCCACCATCATCCACCCAATCAACTCAGGAAGAAACACCCAGGAAGAAACACTGAACCACCCAATCAACTCGTTTGAATTTCGCATTTCGCATCCTTCTCAACTTGACAGTGGAGTGGTCAAACAGGAAAAAGTGGGAGAGCCCCTTGTTCTGGTAAACTATGTTTTCCTCTTTCGGTCGTGTCAATGTCGCACACAAAAACACAACACATGAAGTCTATCACATTATGATATTCGAAGAGAGAAAAGATGCACTGTCAAGGCCAGCAAGTGCCCTGGCACCACTGAGGGTATGACTCACTTTCGCCCTGCAAATCCCTTGCACCAGCCGTACCGCGCGCCCCGCGCGCCCCGCGCGCCCCGCGCGCCCCGCGCGCCCCGCGCTCGTACGGACAGCGCTGCAGGGACAGCGCTCGGTGCCGAATTCACCGCACGGAAGCAGCTGCTTGGAGCGAAGATGCCATTAGTGTAGCTGGGGAAGTGGGATTGGGAAGTGGATGCAAATCTGGGCATTGAAACATGGGGCGAGGTTCAGGTCTTTTTGGGCGAGGTTTTCATGGTGCATGGTGCCTGAACGGATGGGGACGAGCCGCTCGAAACGAAAGACCGAGGCTCCTCTTGTGCCCGAAGAGAAGGATGGGCGGCCTTTGGAGGCCAGTTTGAACCGGGTCCCGGGTTTGAAGGAACGGGTCCCTGGGCCAAGGCAGTCCACAGGTGACGGAGGACTTGGCTGTGTTTGTGGCCTTTTCGGTGGTCGTGGCAACAAAAAACACCCGTGAGGAGTAGGGACACGTTTTGGGCTCACGATCTAGCAGCTCTAGCATTCCAACCATTGCTCCACACGGACACCTGTATATACGAAACTCGAAAACGGATTGATTTGAACACCCGGTGTGGGTGAAACCACCACCGTGGTCAGACCCTCATCGTCACCGACCGTGAGACGGTTGTCGTCCTCGTCTGTCGTCCGCCACACGTCTGACGGCGCAGGTGAAGATCTGGCGCCTCGACGGCCTTCCAGTGCACAGGTCTCACGAAGCTGCGTCCGGGGGTCTCACGAGCTGCGGTGTGGCGCGCGCGTCAGGACTGGGTGACGGTGACCGGTGACGGGTGACGCCGTGAGGCGAGTTGGTTTGTGCTTGAAAGCGTCTAGCACATCAGCTGCCAAGCTCTTCGAGAACCTTGCGGGGTCTTTCAACGTTTCAATGAAGGGACCATGATTGACCTCCGAACATGAACAGAGGGGAGGGTGAACTGTGTTGAATGACCCACAGTCATAGAGATGAGGTCAGCCGATGAACCACCTAGCAGGACCACTTGTCACAGCGGCGGCACTCCAATAGGCACGAGGTCGGTTATCCCCAAATCTGAGACCACATGGCTTGCTCGCTTTGCAACTAAACTGTTGGCTTCTCTCAAGCACTGGTCGTAAGGCATCCGGAAAAGATATCGACCTTGACCTTAACATGTTAAAGCCCATGCAAGATAGACAACGTTTGTTCGTGCTTTCTTGGGAAGGTTTCGATTTTTCTCGAAGCAACAGTTTTTGTTGATGCTTTTCCATGTCTCTTTCCCTAGCCCTAGCAGGCCCATGCACGCGGCTCGCGCAATGCACATGCGCATGCCCAGGTCAGCCAACCCATGCCTGTTCTTCTGGGTTCTCTTCCGAGGTGCCATGGTGGGACATTCAAATCCGCTTCGGTCGGCTTTGCAATGATGTGGATTGGCACCGGAATTGGGGAATGGACGGGCAGAACATCATGTCATGCGTTCATGGGATATTGGAGCTTCCAGTCATGTCTTTGGCATATATAAGTTGCATAAGTGTCCTCCCTCTCTCTCTGTGGAAGAATTGAAAGAGGACATCGGTTGGGTTCTGCCGCGGGGATTCAAAAGTCTGGGTCCATTCGATGGGTGCCATCAGCAGTGGGCAGCCTGGCTTCACTTCCGACCCTCGACATGTTTGCTTCGCAGCCTTAGTGGAGGCCACAGGTCACATTGGTCACTCCACTTGGAGGGATATGACGAGGCAGCTGACACGACAAACAGGTCACATGGTTTCTTGAAGTTGAACTCCCCTGTTGGTCAAGGACCGTCGTTTTTCCAAGGGACTGTTCTTTTTCACTTTCATGTTTCTGAGTCAGAGTGTACCCATCATCATCCACTGGTAACTCTCCCTGCTGTTTTTTTGGTCTATTGATATCTGTCTTGTCCCTGCTGTGTTGGATGGATCGGACTTTGAGCCGCACCCGAAGAGATGGGTCGTGGGGCCCACAAGGAGTGAATTAGAAGACCACCTCCTTTCAGACACGAAGTTCTTGTAGATTTGCATCAGAATTTCCTTGAAACCATGCTCCAAATGCGCCTTTGGCGCCGGTGGACCCCGCAACATGCCGCCTGAAGAGGCGAACTCCAGCGCGTTCGAGCAACCCTTTCGCCAATGAGCGTGAGGATGTGCATTCGAGCAATCCTTTCGAGAAAGGAAGGTGAAGAAACGTGTGAAGTCCAAGTGGGAGCCGTGGAGGCCGTAGCACAGGGGCTCTCAGTTCACCATGTGGCTTGGGCTGATGCTTCAAAGCAGGAACCTTCAAATTGTGCGGGGTTCTCCGCGCCGTGTGGGTGCTCTAGATCCTTCGCTCTTTGGTCTGTTTTCAACACCCGATAGTATTCAATAGTACCAACAGAGTTCAGACCAGCACCCGGTTTTCCCGGAGTTCATGCACCACCCCGCCTCAGACCCCTGGAACCGGCGCTAATGGGACACCCAGACCCTCCGAGCGCCAGAGCGAGCTCATGTGGAGAAGAGGGAGACCCGGACAGGCCGGCTAGACTAGGTCGGTCACAGACCTAGACAGGTGCTTTTTGCAAGGGGCGCACCAGGTGGCGCCATGGGTGGACTGGTCTAGCTCCGTTGCCTGGACGTTGCCTGGGAGGTCTCACTGCTTGACGACCTGCCACTTGCTGGATCGGTTCATCTCCGCGAGGAGCTGTGTGATGCTCAAAGTTGGAAAACAAGAAAACAGGCAAGAAAGGCAGCAAACAAAAAACACCTCGAGAGTGATAGAAACCCGATTTCATCCGATTTCTATACTTCTTCAAAATCCTTTACTGACATTAGAGATCTCACTTTCAGCGAGCCATTTATATATCAACACGATTCAACACAGTTGGTCTGAAACCCACCGCGCTTCACTCGTTCGACTCGCCACATCCAGTGAAGGGCACTGACTCTTAGGCTTTTGTTGGGTTCTCGTCGTCTCATCCTCCCTCTCTCCTTAGTGCTGGCAGTGCAGAGCGGTTCAGATGGTGGATGTCTTACAGGCGATGTGGGGGGCCGGTCAGGATCTGGGTCACCGAAGGTGCTACTTCGGTGGCGACGAAGAGTGTCTTCACTCGAGCTAGCCGTCGAGCCGAGTAGCCGGCGAGTTCGATGGCGCTGCGTGGAGGGGTGAACTCTAGATGATGTTCGTGAGGTCACATGTTGGGACGGCATCAGCCAAGGCACGAGGACGTGAGCTACGAACGTAGCTCCTGGTTACTAGGAACAATGAAGCTACTAGTTGATGCAATGATGTAGTGCTATATGCCGTGGCACCAAATCATCATCGACGTAAGGTTCTGTAGGTGCAGGACCGGTGCAGGTCATGGCGGTTTCCGCCGCTCCGTGGCAGGCAACGGTGCAGGAGATTTTGAATGAGATCTCCCGGCTCGAAAAGGCCAGGCTTGCTTTGATCGGATCTCAACTGTTGATTTCCCGTTCTCCAATTCCTTCGCCCATGTTCTTTTTCCAATTTCCGTGTTCTTTTTCCAGCTCCCGCCCTCCATGCCCTGTCCCTTTCTTTCGCTGTGCCTTTTCCATGGCTTCTGCCGCTTTGAGCTACTGAGATGGCTCAGAGGCTTGTTGCGCTGGCAGACTGAGTCGTCTTGAAACACGACTCCTTTGACGTCTCCTCTAGTTATCGCAAGGTAAGTCTTCGTCAGGTCAGCTTGGGACCAGAGCCACGCAGGTCAGTTTTGTCACCCAACATACATAGTCACCCTAAAGTAGGTAGAACAGATAGAAAAGTCAATCTGATAGTCTGATAGAAAAAGCACTAAACCTGTTTCCTATCGTAGAATCTATGGACATATTCTTGCTGAGAGTCCTCCAGAGTCCTCCATAGGTCAGACCTTTTCTTGGTGAACGGGTCGGTGGACCTTCTTGCGGAGGTGTCCTTGATCCACCAACGATGGCAATGACCACAATGGTGTTTTCCCAAGACCACATACTCGTTGAGAGAGTTGAGATCCCTGCAAAGGAGCGATCATGGGTGGGGGCTGCGGCCGGACACCACAGACCTGCCTTCGTTCGGACACAAGGTCTTGTATACGAAGATGTCGCATGATACATTATTACGAAGATGTCCTATTGTATAATATTGTATAGAGAGATAGATAGATGGTATATGTATATTTTGGATGGTTGGTGGTCCAAAATAGAGGTCATGACCTGGTTCTAGGTATTCAATATTCTCAAGGTGTCGCACCCACCGGGTCACTTGGTACTGCTGATCCGGTTTGGTCTTCTGCCGGTTCATACTCGGTACCGGGGACGTTTCCAGACGCATCGCCAGGGCCAAGCGGCAGGGACTGAGGACTATGTCCAGTTGCTTTCGGACCCTCGGGCTGTCCGAGCGGGTTGTTTTCGGGGTCTCCAGTGGCGCGCGGTGCGGGTGTAGCGGTGTAGCGGTGTCTGCAAAATGGCAGCTCTAAAAGTTGCTTCGATGATTGTGTCTCTGCTCTCAAATGAACCACCTTAAAGTGAATATACCAGCAGTAGTTCATCATTCATGCAGGTGGCATAGATTCTGCAGTCTTGTAATTTTGAGCTTGGTGCAGTTTCCGGCGCAAACAAAGGGGCAAACGCACTACAAATGAAAGACATTCTGCAGTACATATTGTATCATTTAGTCTAGTTGGCAGCTTGGCAGTGCTTTAGCCTAAGTTTGATGAATCACGTATCCACATAGCAGGTTGTCAAACAGATGGACCCTCCTCACTCTGCTTCGAAACCGATTTCGGCACCAAGAAAGCCCAGCAAACCAACTGCCACATGGCCGTTTTTCATTCCCCAACCCTTCGGGCAAAGAAAGGGCATCTGACACACCTGTGGATTGCTTTTGGGTCTTCTTTTCGCCACCTGAGCGTTCGACCTCCCGAAGCCCGGCCCGGCCCGTCCGCCCGGCGATCGAGCGCCGATGCCGAGGATGTGGAGCGAAAAGCGCCGCTGCTGGGCAGGTGACGAGGGGAGCGCGGGCGACGGAGGTCCAGGTCGCGCGGTCGTCGGCGGTGGACGGAAGAAGGGGTGTGTGTGCCTTCAGCCTTTAGCCGTAGCAGGAGAAAGCTGGTTGAGAGTCAAGGTCATCAACGTTCAGTTAATTACCTTGGAAAGGAAGCGCACACACACACACACACATTGCCGTTGCACTACGACTCGCACAGGGGAACACATGCGCCAAATTCCCGGAAAGCCTATCACTTGATGGCACACACATATATATATATATATAGGTTTTGCATGACACCTATACGTGCAACCCTGCTTTGAGAACACCTTGAACCCCAACCAACATGTATGAAGATGCACTTCACAGGCGCCTGCTGGGTACGTCGCTTGACCTCCAGAAGAACCGGCTGCGTCAATGGTAGCTGGGAAGATCTTGGACGACCAAGGAGTCCCCCGAAGACTCTGCACCAGTGAGCTTCATGCACTCGACGCTACGCCGACTGAGGGGTTCGATGGTGCTTTGTTGCGGTTCGACGGCCGAAATCGAAGGCGCACCGTGCCCTTGGAGCTGCTGAAGCATCTGGATGAGGCGAGCATCGGCGTGTCTGTGCGAGCAATTCTCCGCTGTACACTTATGCAATCCCAGTCCCAACCAACAAATGGTTGTTCCTGTCTGGCTTGCTTGAGATCCTTTACACATTTTCAGTGGCACTGGGGTTTTCTTCATTTTGTTTTCTTTGGACCTCCAGTGAGTTGAATGATATGTTTCTGGATCCCATTTCTTTGGGACCGGTGATGCTTACCGATTTTCCATGCAAAGACTTCAGGCCAAGGTCAATCAAGGCCAAGATCTTTGGGCTTTGAATCTCAAAGTTAAGCACCTCTAAAACTCTTTCTTGAGCGAAGATAGACTTGGATGGCATGCTCCTTAGAAGACTACTCAAGCACTGAATTGGGTCGAATTGGATTCAGGGTTAGGAGTTAGGAAGAATATTTCGAGGATTCTTGATCACCGTGGTGAGAAACAGTCTAAGCCAGGGCCACACAAATTTTGCATCTGATGTACATGCAACTTCAGTGCTCCCAGTGCTCCCGGCGCTGGTTTCCGTTCGCTTCATTCCGCGGTCTGGTCCACTCCAGATCAGCGTCCCTCGTCTCACGAATTCCATCACAGATCCACTGAGGTCGTGTCGGACTGTGTGAGACTTCCGACCGGTTACCCTTCCAGGGCGGCGCTTCCGACCCGAAAAATACCAGTGGACCGGACTGTCTTAGACCAGTGGACCCTCCAGTCTACCCATGAGTTGAAAGGTCTCTCCCCCTCCAAAGACGGGCCGGGGAGTTTGGGTCTCACTCCCAGGGGAGGGAGCGTGGTGGTGGTTGTTCTCCGCGTGTTGGGCGAACAGGGTGGCTCGTTGGAAAGCTGGTGTGTGGAGACCGAGCCATTTCGACCGAGACGATGCGGTGGAGTGGTTTTTCACAGCGGTGGGGAACAGGGGGGTGGAGCTGTGGCTTGAAGAAGAGGACCAGCTACTTCTACCATTTGAGGGGTTTGGCTGTCTCACTGAGACAGGTCTTACAGGATGTCTCGGGGTGTATTGATGTGATGAAAAAGGGTTGAAACAACCAACACAACAAGAATTTCGCATGGGAATCCATTTGTCACCATGGATTTTTCTTTTGTTTTTTGTTTGGTTGGTCTTTCAGTTATCAACGTGTTTACAGTACCTGCCTTTTGAAAGCTGACTGCCGGGTTCATTGGGAGCTTCAGCTGACCCGAGATCGATGTCCGACACAGCGACCCACGGGCTGCCCCCATGGCAGTTTGGATGTGACCGGTTTACCGAAGAAGTCGCCCCTCCCGCGCCTCCCGCGCCTCCCCTCCCCGCGCACTTGGTGCGCGCACTTCGTTCAGGTCGTGACCAGGCGAAGCGGTACGTCGAGACTCTGAAGGACCTCCACGCACGTGGCACCTGGAGGGGTTTGGTCCTGAAACCAGCGGAAGCGCCAGGATTCAGACGCCGCTTTTCAGAGGTCATCCCAAACGTCCAACGTTGAATCTGAAGGATTTTGGAAGCCCAACAAGCCACAGTAGCTAGACCTGGGTGTTTGTCCACAGTAGCTACCCCCCAGGTTCCGTTCCGAATGCCGGGTTTTTTGTTGCATGTCATCCTGTATGTGGTCAAGGATGATCCTCATCTCTCTGCCACTCCCCCGGGGGTCTCACGGGTCCGGATGGAGCTTGAGACGCTCCAAGCAAGCACAAGGAGTAGCAATGGCCTCCAACCTAATAACACAACTACTTAGAGATCTCAGCCTCTTCTTGAGTGCGATGGGTGACCGGCTTCAGGAGAAGCAGGAACGTGGCAAGCCACTGAAGTGCCTGACCAGGTGTGGCTCGTGGTGGCGGTTGGGTCCTAACCATCTGGGTTTGATTCCTGGGCATACTCAACCAAGCAATTGGTGAATCAACCAAGCACAGTGCTGGGTGGTTCATGGAGCTTTTTTAGCATACTTGGGGTGGTATGCTGCACGGGGGGGATTCTGGAAGCCAAAGGGAACCGATAATTTATCTGGAATCCTCGCAGAGGAGGAACATGGCACAAGCTTAAGCTCAAGCATGGTGACCTTCCTATTGTGGATATAACGGTTTTTGTTTTCCCGTACTCCATCCAGTGCTTGGTTTGAACCCCTGTGCCTGGTTGAGCGTATGGAATACTCAATCGCAGCCAAATGGATGCTCTGCTGCGATCACCCTCGCAGCCTGATTCTTGCACCCCGTCGGTCGGAGATGTGCTGGGCGAGAGATGAACATGGATGAACACCGGCAGGATCTGCAGGATCTGCCGATCGATCTTGAAGGCTTCACCTTTCATTTTGTATCATTTTGTACTTATTTTTTTGGGGAAAAATTCTAGGGGTATGACAATACTCTTCACCTACTTGCAGCCAAAAGGGTGAATCTGCAAAGTATTTTTTTTGGACTCGTAGCCTTTGGCTTCAGAGGTTTCACGGTTTCCTTGCCAAAAACGTGTGCCATGGAGGGCGTGTGCTTGGGGCGACCCTGTGGCCATGAGCGGCAAGCTGAGAGGTTGAGAAAGCTCGACCTGGAGGAGGAGGTTCTGATCCTTCGAGAACAGGCCCAGTTCCCATCGCTAGTAGGTCGGCCCATCGCTGGTAGGTAGGACCGGGTCCGGAACCGAAGAGAGGTCTGGACCGTCGTGGCGGCCGACATGGTAGGTCCAGGTGAGGCTTGTGAGTGTGCGGGGCTTGTGAGTGTGTGGGCACGCGTTGCGATCAAGATCATTCTGGTACGCGCCCCCTGAGTGAGTACCTAGTCCGACGTGTCCTTGCCCCATTGGAACCATAATGGAACCATATTGGAACCATGGATAGCAAGTATCCAGCATCAGCAAGTGACCTTTTCTATCGCAGCATCAGTACGACGTCCTTTTTCCTCTAGTTCGTCACTGGAACAGTTAGACCAGGTTTGGTCCGACTGCACTGCTGGGGCACATAACCAGACGGATGACTCAGGACGGGTGGTGCAGACATCACCTCTAAAGCACCGTACTAAGGAGTGATCTCAATAGACACTACAAATGGGCGGCCCCTTTATCAGCTTATCACCCTCATGCTTAGCATGCTTTCCTTTATCCCCTTATGGGCCCCTTATCAACCTCATCATACTGTACCAATAGTGCATGCTTTCCATTTCTCACCATCCACCTTCCGCATCCCTCGCCGCTCTCGCTCTCGCCCTCGCCCTCTCTCCTCGCTCCTGTCCCGTCCTTTCGCTCGTCTTTCAGGTGCGCGACCTGTCGGAGATGAACATGGTCCTGCGGAGCCAGATGGACCGCGGCCGCGGCAGCGGCCGCGCCATGACGAAGGACTCGGTGGAGAGCAATTCCACCTTGGGCGATGCCGTGCACCCGGAGCAGGTCTCAAGACTCGAGACGACGGGGGACGTCGGGGAGACTTGAGGATGGCGGAGGCGAAGGGTGGTGCTCCCCGGGTCTGAACAGCCGGGTGAGGGTGCGGGGCGGGTGTTCTTCGTGGCGGGGCGACGAAATGAATGAATGAATAGAGGGGGCCTGAAAGGGAGCAGCGATTCGTAGCGAAGTCTTCAACAGACCCCAAAGAAGATCCCTTGGGTTCTTTTCGCGCCATGAATGGACGGTTAGCGGTTGGCTTACTTGAGGTTCCAGTGATCTCCTCTTCAAGGGGATGACGATATATATATATATACTTGTAGTTGATGGAAGGAGAACCATGACGTGATATGACGTGGTATTTCCTGGTATTTGCCCTCAAGATGTCAATCTTTCCTCCTTTTTTCTGTTTGGTCTTCGGATTTGATCCGAAATTGGGGCCATCCACGTCACCATCTGAAGACATCGACGACCGTGCCCCCTGAACATCCCGACCGCAGGTGAACCTGCGCGGGGCCATTTCGGCAGGGCGCAAGTCCTCGGGCCGGGCCAGCATCCGGGAGGAGGAGGACGTTAAGTTTTTTTGCTTATGAAGTGATGTGAACGTGATGTGGGTACCTACAAAAGAACACCCCCAGTTTAACCTGGTCCTTGACCTCATTGAGTACTGGCTTTGCATTTTCCCAGATCCAGTCAAATGAGGTCCGTAAGACCTGTAGGGAGCCATTAATTAAAGGACAACATTTTTCATTAACGTTTGTTTCTTCCTCTCAGAGGCGGATCCTTTTTCTCCGCCATCTGAAGCTGGCAGCAAGAAGCACAAAGGTACTGCGCAATGGGTGGGGAGTTGAGCCTTGATCCTCCAGGTGTACGGTGAAAATACAAACGTCATCCCTTTCGTGACAGAAGTGCTTTGCATGAGATGTGCGTACAACCGTACGTACAGCGTACATCTGTGTGTCGGACGAATGTTTCGGCTAGGCCGTGTTACCGTATTGATACACCAGTTTACCCAGCAGATGACACTGCCCCGGAAATTAGCAGGGTGAATGGCTGATTCACTACGTATAGAGTCTGTGCCAGCACCTCTACAGATCCCGTAGAAAAGCTGTACCTCCCCCAACTTCCGCGCCTCTGATTTACACTTATGGGGGGTTTCTCTAACATGGCAAACCTTCCAACGCAGCAGAACCAATTCAGCCCGACCACCATCGGCCCGTGGCGGTTGGGCGGTTTGGGCAGGACGATGACAATCTGCTGGACGATCCCAATTCGCCGGCGGGCTTTGAACGGACGGTCAGTGTCCAGGAGAGGTTGGAACTGTCAGGGAAGAAAGCTGGAACTGTCAGGGAGTTCTTTAAAACCTCTTCCCAACTTCTCAATTCTTTTTCTTGTGCTCGTGGTAGCAGTTCGGCTTCCGAACAGCTTGAAACGTTGGACCTTGATTTTGGGTGCCAGAACTGCAGAGCGGTGCGGATGACCCGACGGTGAATGCTCAGGGTAGTGAAGAAAATGAAGATCTGTCGGAGCTGGCAGATGACGCGAGTAGACTTGCGCAAAATAATGACCAGGGAAGGTTGGAAGAAGAAGAAGAAGAAGAAGGAGAAGAAGAAGAATGACACTAATAATAAGCCGAAGAAGAAGAAGAAGAAGAACAAAGAAACTATCAAACAGAACCATAAACAAAACATGAGAGAGATAAAGGGAATAATAACGACACATAAGAAAAAAGTAATAACAACAACGAAGAGGGCGAATGACAAGAAGAAGGAGGATAAGAAGAAGAAGAAGAAGCATAAGGATGATACATTTATATATATCTAAAGTGACAAGCATAAGATGAAGAATAGTAACTAAGAAGGATAAGAATAATGATGACAAAGTCTAGTAAAAATGACAAAGAATAAGGATACTAAGAAGAAGGCTCATAAGAATAGTAACGACAAATAAGAAGAATAACAACAATGACGACGAAGCAGAAGAAGAAGACGAATAATAATAAGAAGAAGCATGAAGAGAAAGAAGACGAATAATAAAAATGATAATACACATAAGAAAATTTGAAGCAGGAAAATCAGTAGAAGTAGAAGTGCCAGCACCTTCGATGGATAACCCCTCGAGCATTAGAGCACTAACGTCCAGTACAGCAAAGGTGACAAAGAGGGATTTGTTCAGGAGGTCAAGAATTGAGAGGCTCACATTATGACATGTTAGAGCGGACTGAAATCTTCTATATCACAGGTCTTAAGTTAGATCTCTTCAACTCACACCCAATCAGCATTTTGCCCGCCATCCCCACCATGTTCTCAGTCTTCAGCCCCGATGTCTCTGAATGATGCGACAAGGAGCTGCAGCAGACAGTGAAGCTCAGTGACCTCTTCTATTCCGGCATCAACAGCACAGCTGCGCGCGCGAGCGCGTTGGGCAAGCGACGTGGGTCACCTAGCCGCCATGTTAATTCTCTTTTGGTCATTGGATGGGCTGAAACGGCTGGATTCGGTTTCAACGGCCACACCCGCCTTTTCAGGGCCTCTGGCTAAGAGGGCTAAGAGGGCTTGCTTCGCCACGAGTGGGAGAGTGGGGTCGTTGGTGAGTTTGATGAAAACCAGCTGCTTTCGTGGGTGCACCATCAGACCGACGTTTCCTGTTCGCTCTTTTGCTCAAAACGGTGGACGGGTGGGGCGACGGGTTCTCTTTGACCCGCCATCCCACTCTCCTCAGCCTTTCCCAGTGCCCAAAGCCATCCCACTCGAACCGGAAAGGCTGAGGGCTCAGGCGACTCACTCTTTCTCCTGAGTCGCCTGAGGTTGCGGATCTTTATCTTCACCTGGGCCTTCCTCTTTGTGATCTTCGTCCTAGTGGCCTCGTCTACGAGCCTGGGTTCGATTTCGGAGTTCTTCTATGGCGACTCCTTAGAGGCGCGAAGGGGGGGGTGGGGCCGGGTGGGGTAGGAGCGGACGGTGACCAGGTGAGGACCAGAAGGAGGAAGGAAGAGGGTGGAGCAGATGGGAGAAATGCACCAACTTTGGCCTGGATGTTGGGCAAATATTGCACGCTTAAGTTTCTGTGTTTTTTCTTTGAACACATAACTATTACTACTACTTTACCAATACCATTTGATGCGCTCTCTTGGGGGTTGACAACTTTGCTTCATACCCCGGCAAAACCCCTGTGGCCAACTTCCGACAGTCCGCGCCGTCGGTCCGAAACAACGCAGCGAGCAGGTCCTGGCGGTCACGTGACTGCTGTCTGGTCACGGGCCGGTCGCGACCACTTCCCCTTTGGACGTCCGATTTTCACGTTCCCTCCGAGTCGAGATGGTTGAACTTGAGACGAGTTCCTCTGTGACAAGTCTGTTCGCTCGGGTGCAGCGATGGTTCCGGGTTCCGCCGTGCCCATTTTTGTCCCAGCTTCCGGAGGAGGGTGTTTGGAATCCAAAGATGGAGACTCTCAAATAAT